CGTATGAGTGTGAGTTAGGTAAGGCATAAGNNTCACGTGTGAATTAGGTAAAGAATATCTAAGNGAATATNCCTTNTAATATTCCTTAGAGGTTGTAGTATAAATAAAGGCTTGGGTAGACGTTGTAAACCAAGCTAAGCGAAGTGTGAGAGAAAACATAAGAGTCTTGGTTGTAATCTTTTGAGTGTTCTTATCAATAAAGCTTCCCCTTTGTTTATACATCCTTCTCCTTAAACGTTTATCTTTTGTCCCTTTGATCCTACTCATCCTTCTCCTTAAACGTTTATCTTTTGTCCCTTTGATCCTACTCAAACCTCCTACGTGGTTGTACCCACTATGTGTCTGTAAATTTGTGGTTATATTAAAAAAATATTTAATAATATAAAATATCAGCCACTAAATTATTTGATGAAAAAATGGTTGTTAAATAACTACATATTAATCATTAGTCGAAATAATTTAGCCATTGATTAGTCACTAACATATCAGTGGCTTTTTCACGGTTTGGGATGTCGAGGCCTACAAATCCCATCGGTCTCGACTGAGCGTATGGGTTTGGTTCGGGTTCCATCCTCCAAACATGTGTTTCGTAGGTCAGGTCAACTCATTTAGAAATTAGTTGTCAACTCGGGCCAACTTTGTTACTTAGTCAGTTTTTTCGGTTATCTTGGTAGAAGAGATCTAATCCCAACAGTTAGCCCTCTAACTTAGGAATATCAGTAGTGGTAGTGCCAAAGTGAAAACAGTCTAGGATCGAGATCAATTATATCGAGCCGTAAAAAAAATTCCACCAAACTGTTTTTAAATCTTGCCAAGTCGTTTGCCTTCTTGTCACCGAACCGATTTGCTTTCATACTTTTGCGTCCAACATGCTTCACCCATTTTGTTACCTAGCCGATGCCATTTTTGAATCCGAATTTCCGATCCATCTTGTTGTGCGTAGCGAGTTGTAATGTTGTTTATCTGAACTGTAATCATTTTCAACGACTCGATCACCCTTATTGGAGGAACTTGGCTCTGAAATTTTATAGACCTTAAAAAAAGAAATTTAATTTTCTTGGAAAGCGTAAATGTTTTTGTTGATTTCCAAGGTGTAATGATGTCATTATTTGCTCTATGTGCTTGTATATACCCAATTTCTGTGGGATTCTGCTCATGATCTTTATTTCTCCAAAGTCCTCCAAACAATTAGTTGCACATTCTCTCGCTTCCCTTTTTTATTTTAAGTTAATTTCAGCTAGGGTTTCGTTTTATTTACATTGTCGCTGCCGAGTCGTTGAGTTTTCTGATCCATTTTCAAGCGATTTCACAACTAACGTTAAGTTTTCCATCAGCCTCCATTGATGATTCCGGTCCATCGTCAAATCTCTTGATTCTTTCGATGAACTCTTCAAGGATATTTGAGGATACCGATTTGAAATCAAACCCTATTTGTTTTCAAGTTTCGCCTTCGAATCTACTACTTAATATTGCTCTTCGAAATTCCTAGTGAATCCTCTACTTCCCCCGATCCGTTTGTTTCTAGTATCTGAATCCGTTCGTTGAGTTCTTATCAAGAACCGATTCACAAGAACCTTAGCCAATCTCTTTCTTATGCGAGCCGCCTATTTCTGCTGAGCCACTAGGTACTCGATCTTTTCTCCGAGCCGATGAAACTTGTGAATTAGACCTCGAATATCTAGACGATTTGTTGAGCTCGCCTAGTGGTCTTTTTTGGTTTCGGCAGGAAAATTATTTATTCCACTCATTTGAATGAAGTAGGGAACAATGATGTGAACCCTTTAGATATCAAGGTGTCTTCCTTGATTGACAAGCTATTTGACAAAACGACTAATCCTTTTGAAGTAAAATCTGAAGAAGAAGATTGGATTTTTGATCTCGTCAAGGTGAAGTGCCAATTAGAGGCGATGATGGGAGTGGATGTTCAAGAAAGGCCCCCAAGCAAAAGAAAGCTATGAGAGTTCAGTCCGATCCGCCAGGTTCGACCCTTTGTACAACAAAATTGTTGAAGGAGCTTCGGAACCGGTTTTCAATTTCTAAAGAGATCGAGATGGTTTTTCCATCGAAAGATGACAAAGCCAATCGTCCCCCAACCGATCACTTTGCTCTCTACGAGAGTTTCTTCTATCAATGCTTTCTATGGTTTCCGATTCCAGGACTAATCCTTCATTTTTTGTAGAAACACAATCTCGCTATCGCCCAAGTTAATCATCATGAAGTTCGTTATTTGATTGGCATCATGGTTCGAAGCTACGAGTGCAAATTGGAGATTGGGGTTTGGTACCTCTTCTGCCTTCCCGAGTTTAGGAGAGAGGGTCCAGGGGAAATTTTGATGTATAGTATTTTTAACAAAGCAAAAAAAAACAAATCATCTGTGGGTTTCCGAGCAAAGTGACAATTGGAAAGATCGATTCTTCTTTGTCCCGATTTCAGATGCGTCGGTTGATACAGGATGCGCTCCATTGGTCAAAATAGAATGGGAAAACTTGGTAGCCGGCATGCAGCTTGTTTTAGGCTATGACTCGGTTTTTAAGCTTACTTAGAATATTTGTTCGATTTTAACCTTTGCTTTTCTCGTTTGCACTTCATTTTGTTTATTTCCACTTCTTTTTATTTATGATGTTAGAAATTAATACCTAAGTTTGGATTTTCATCAGCAATACAATGCAAAATTGTTTTATCTTGAATCACACATACAATATATGAAACTCGGTGGATGGGATATATTATATAGACCTCCTGAACCTAAAATAGGTACACCAACTTTTGTTTTACAGATTCTGACTAATCTTTCATTTTTGAATATTAAGACAATAAGTGTATAATGTACGTAGGTCGTGAGGAAATGGAGACCGATGTTTACACATTTGGTGTGATCTTGTTTGAGCTTTTAACTGGTTCGAAAGATACAATAAAAACTATGAAAAGATCAAGAAGCTCACATGATTGGATATCTCCTTTATTGTTCGATGTTCATAAGATTGGAGAAATAGTGGATCCACGACCTGTGGAACAATTATCATGTGAATGCAGTGACACATATGTGCACACTCATAAGAAAGTGCACGCAATGGGACATGAAGAAACCACAATTGATGCAACAAGTCTTGGATACTATGAATTTTATTGCAGAGATCATGGATTAATTGTGTAGACTCTAGAGGTACTGATATTTAACACTGCAAAAGTTAGGGGCTTATTTGTAGTAATTGAAAGAATCAGTAGTATAGAGGATTAGTGGTAGACTAAGGTTCTAAATTGTAACAGCAGAATCTGGTAGAATTTTGCTGAATTGCAGAATTTGGCTGAATTTTTAGTGATTTGTTGCGAAATCTGGCAGAAATCTCTTGAAATGTAAATGGTAACAGCTGACTCTAGCTGAATTGGCTAATTTTCTTTTTTAAATTAATATCTATATAAACCTATAAAAGTTATTTAAATAATGTTTTTAGTTAAATAAACTAATAAACTATTAACTTTTACATTTATATTTCATTATGCATAAAATAACAACATAGTTTAATGAGAAAATTTGCAATTCAAATAATTAAAGATGAATTTATATAAAAATAGAGTAAAGTAATCCAAAGTTTTGTTTTAGTAAAATTTACGCTAATTGTTGAATTTTGTGTTCATAAACAACATGCTTATGTTTTCTTTAATGATATTAGTACAAACAATTACGGAAAAAACTGAATCGAACGAAACCAATAAAATAAACTTAAAATACATAAACACGACCTTTGTTTTATCTAAAATTTCTACAATTACAATAATTGTTTTAATTTTTCAAACAAAAATATCTTAAATTATCCAAAATTATTTGTAATTACATGAAATACCCAAATATGATAAACTCTTTACATGTTTGATAATGATTTTTAATATCCGAAATAATATATATTATATTCATATGATCCGATTCATTTTTCAAAAAAATATTTTGAATGTACTTTTGATCTCTTAAATATTACTGTCTAACTCAAATATTTGGTCTTATCCAATCTATTATCCAAAATAACATATTTATATATAATTTGGTGTTAGAAAAAGTTTTGAATCTAGTTGAATTCAACCGAATCTTGTGAAATACTTTTTACTGAATTGGTGAATCTAACTTAATCTGGCGGAATGTTTTTACATAACAAATGGTAATTGCAGAATTGCTGAATCTGGCGGAATTATATTTTTATGTCACCATTTACAACCTAAATATACCAATATTTTAACATTTTTTTAGTCTTGCAAAACTCAAAGTAGCAGTAAATTCCACACTATCAATTGGCTCATATGACTTTTAAACCTTGGCAAAGAGACAACAAACAAGTCATGGTGGGAATACAACAGAGCAAATAGTTAATAAAAAATTCTAATTTTATAACATCATATATCGACAGACACTAGGAATTAAGGCAAAAGGCTTGCCCACAAAAGTCTTTTATGTCAAATCCTAAATCCTAAACCCAATTCAAAGAGATGGCAATAGGGTAATCATGCTAATCTATTTTTTTATACTGTTTTACAAAGAGTCCCAATCTACACATTTTCACAAATATTAAAAAAGTTATTAAAAACTATACTTTATTTTTATTAATAAACAAAATAAATTTCTCTTTTTAATTAATACATTAAAAAGTATAATCAAAACTGATTTTTATTCAAATTAAAAAAAAAAAAAACCGTAGAATGATACTCTTGTGAAACAGAAAG